TTATTAACTGTCTTGGGTTTGTGCTTTCATGCTACAAGTTTCCTCTCAAGATTTATTTTAAGAAGTGACCTTTGCAACTTCCTTCTTTCGCAAACCTGCAGAATTTCAGTACATCAGAATTTCCCTTTCTCATCTCACATGTCTGCTCACACAGTTTTGTCACATCGCCATCCATTGTTGAGCTGAGATGGAAAAAAAAGTCGGATTAATTAGTTTGACAAGCTGTCAAACAAGTTCTGCATGTTTTTGGTGTTGTGTGCTCAAGTCTCACGTTTTGTTTCTTCTTTTTTATTCCCTCTTGGTTGCAGCTGAACTGTGAAGCAGCTGGTTGTCTGTGCAGAAACCACAGGAGCACAGTGATCCTTCCTCAATTTAGTTTTGGGGCTCTAACGTGAGACACGACACTAACGAGCTGTACTGGTTGGGTTTAGTGTTTGTATTAATGCTGCTAAGTTACATTCATGTGATGTTTGACATGCAATCACTTATCAACACAATATGAAGAAGCTTTTTTTTTTTTTTTTTTAGATTTGGGGTATTTTAATGAGATGACAACAAAAGTTAATGAAAAACCTTCTGTCTTGTTCAGGCAGTTTTATTTGGGCTCGTTCTGCCACCTCCTGTTGCATTAGAGAACTACAAGTGAAGCGAGATAGATGGATTATTTGTCAAAATGAGGCAAAATAACTATTACACAGCACAATGTATGCACTAAAATGATTTCAAAATACTTAAAAAAATTAAAAGAAATCACAAAAACAATATATAAGGATGCTTTTAGCCTCATGACACTGGCTCCCGGTATGTTTTAGGATAGAATTTAAGATTTAACACGCCAGTTTTAAAGCCCTTCAAAGCCTCGTTCCTTGTTATAGTTCTGATCTTTTAGTAATTTATGCATCAGCATGTGCTTTAAGATCTTTAAGGTGTTTCGTCTGGTCTAGATGCTGAAAACTAAAGTGTTTGCTCTGCAACGATCGACCCAAGAAAGTCCGGCCAGCTGATTCAGTGACCTCCTTCAAATCTTTTCTTTTGTCTAAGAGCCTTTCCCGATTTTAATTTGAGTCATCTCAGGTAGGAGCAGACAATAGAAGAACCTCTTACCTGAGCTGACTTTTGTTGTCTCTTTATCACTATGTTGGTTTCATACATCGTGTTTGTCTGTCTTTTAGATTCTGTTAGTTTTCTGACTTGTCTGCTTTTATTTTGCTGCTTCGTGAATTATTTTGTAACTCAAATTTTTAAAAGTAAATAAAGATGCCTTGACATGACATATGTTGTTGAATCAGTGTTTATAATGAAATTTAAATGAANTTATTAACTGTCTTGGGTTTGTGCTTTCATGCTACAAGTTTCCTCTCAAGATTTATTTTAAGAAGTGACCTTTGCAACTTCCTTCTTTCGCAAACCTGCAGAATTTCAGTACATCAGAATTTCCCTTTCTCATCTCACATGTCTGCTCACACAGTTTTGTCACATCGCCATCCATTGTTGAGCTGAGATGGAAAAAAAAGTCGGATTAATTAGTTTGACAAGCTGTCAAACAAGTTCTGCATGTTTTTGGTGTTGTGTGCTCATGTCTCACGTTTTATTTCTTCTTTTTTTCCCCTCTTGGTTGCAGCTGAACTGTGAAGCAGCTGGTTGTCTGTGCAGAAACCACAGAAGCACAGTGATCCTTCCTTAATTTAGTTTTGGGGCTCTAACGCGAGACACGACACTAACGAGCAGAACTGGTTGGGTTTAGTGTTTGTATTAATGCTGCTAAGTTACATTCATGTGATGTCTGACATGCAATCACTTATCAACACAATATGAAGAAGCTTTATTTTTTTTTTTAGATTCAGGATATTTTAATGAGATGACAACAAAAGTTAGTGAAAAACCTTCTGTCTTGTTCAGGCAGTTTTATTTGGGTTCATTCTGCCACCTCCTGTTGCATTAGAGAACTACAAGTGAAGCGAGATAGATGGATTATTTGTCAAAATGAGGCAAAATAACTATTACACAGCACAATGTATGCACTAAAATGATTTCAAAATACTTAAAAAAATTAAAAGAAATCACAAAAACAATATATAAGGATGCTTTTAGCCTCATGACACTGGCTCCCGGTATGTTTTAGGATAGAATTTAAGATTTAACACGCCAGTTTTAAAGCCCTTCAAAGCCTCGTTCCTTGTTATAGTTCTGATCTTTTAGTAATTTATGCATCAGCATGTGCTTTAAGATCTTTAAGGTGTTTCGTCTGGTCTAGATGCTGAAAACTAAAGTGTTTGCTCTGCAACGATCGACCCAAGAAAGTCCGGCCAGCTGATTCAGTGACCTCCTTCAAATCTTTTCTTTTGTCTAAGAGCCTTTCCCGATTTTAATTTGAGTCATCTCAGGTAGGAGCAGACAATAGAAGAACCTCTTACCTGAGCTGACTTTTGTTGTCTCTTTATCACTATGTTGGTTTCATACATCGTGTTTGTCTGTCTTTTAGATTCTGTTAGTTTTCTGACTTGTCTGCTTTTATTTTGCTGCTTCGTGAATCATTTTGAAACTCAAATTTTAAAAAGTAAATAAAGATGCCTTGACATGACATATGTTGTTGAATCAGTGTTTATAATGAAATTTAAATGAAGTGTAATTAGTGCTGGGAAATGAAGGTATATTTCCAAGAAACTCAAGTCATTTGGATCGTCTTTATGTTACGTCTCTAATCTCAGTAGAAGTCATGTCAGAGTGTTTCCTGAATGAACATTTTGGTGGGTGACGGTGCATCAGCTTGTATATAGCAAAGATAAATACCGGATACTATTCCTGTTATGTGTGACTATTTAATTAAAAACTGTCTGTTATTCTTGATAAAACGAAACCTCCATTAACAAAACAGGTTCAAAAGTTGAATTGTTGTTTTTATTCTCATTTCTTGTCACTCTGATGCCACTGATTCTCTTCAGGGGTCGACTTAAACCTCTTGGAGGGCAACAAAAACTCTTCTGTGCAGGAAAAACCCTGAATACGGCTGATAGCTGTGTGATTTCAGAACTACATGTGTCACTGGGTCAGATGCTTCCTTTGCTGTTCTCATGAAATGAACCATTTGAGGAGTTCATCGGGCTGCAACCAGGTGGGAAATATCTCAACAGGTGAGTTGAGTTGATTTAAATTTTCCCTTCAAGCACCTTTACAACATGTCTGCATCATGCTGTCATATTAAATCTGTGGTTGTTCTGCATTATTTTCCAAGACCCACTAAGAAATGAAAAAAGTTGAGCCTCCTGGAGCTTTAAACTTCTGCCATTGGTTGGAATTATTACTAAAATTAACTAAACATAACGACTAATTCTTCACACACAGGAGCATTTATTTATAT